AAAAGGTTTGATTTATATTTGCTAATAATTAGATCTTCATTTTCTGTTTTGATGTATATTATACCAAGGAAAGCCGAAGAAAATACCATCATTATTGTAGAAAAACATATCAAAGGAATACAAGCACTATAAATTATAGATTTTAAAATTATCATGTCGTTGAAATAGCTTTTAGCAAGTGTTATTGAAAATCCAAGACAAATACTTGTGACTGAAACTTGAGTTATAAATAACGAAATGTTCAAGGCTGCCATTCCGATTGCAGCAATAGGATTTCGCCTCAAAGATATATCATAAGACTTTTTAACCGATTCGATGTACCCCTCACCATGTACTGCTATGTAAGGAAGAGTTAAGGCGTTTATAAATTCTATTATATCTTCTAAAACACTTAGTAATACAGCCATAAGACATAAAATAATACTAACCAACCCGTTTCTATCCCTGTTGTTTGATCTTCTGTCCCTTTCTTGATCGACAAAAAATCTCAACGTTGATACCACTGCAACTACCAGCCCAGCAAAGCATATACTACCTAATGCATACATTGAATTTTTTATCACTGATGACATTCTTGAATGTTCTCCAAATTCTACCAAATTGTATGATACAACAGACGTTATATAAACTTTAAAAAAATATATAGCGTTGCTAAGAGTCCAAAAAAGATTAAGAACATAAAAAAAAGTAAAAATATTGTCCTGCATTTTTTCATGATGTAGTGATAATTCAATTCTTAATTGGGTCATTAAAAAAATTTGCAGGATTATCAGTGAAAGGCACATAATAATTCCTATTAAAGTAGTAAAAAAATTTGACAGTATAATTTTAACACCAACACACATTGTCTTAGCCACAGCATCAAAATAAACCCAATTTCTATATACAAACACTGCCCAAAAAAATATAGCAAATAATGAATAAAATAATGACATTGCATGGAACTTGAAGAAAAACAATGTTGCAATAAGAACAAAAGGAAACGTAAAAGCTGTTGCTTTTAAGAATAAAACTGGAATAAATCGAAATCCTAAAAAATTAATAGTTATTGCCGCAAGCACAACTATAGAGCAAAATAAAGCATTCTTAATAACTGGCTCAGCAAAAGACAAATCCAATGAGAAACTTTTCTCTTTGACAATTGCATAGGTAGAAAATCCTAAGAATGATATAGCATATAATATAAATGCCCACGAATCATGAAATTTTCTAGATTTTGATATGTACTTTGAACTTCCTGTTGTTGCGTTCATAACCCTTGTTTACTAATTTTATTTTTATTTATAAATTGTTTCTTTTTAAAACAACTAATAAAAAGGAGACATTTAAATTTACCAAAGCTAATAAATTAAAAAAAATAAAAATACTTAACAATTTGATAAAACTATTTATTTTTTTTTAGCAAATGCATTTTAAATGTTTATTAACAAAAAGGAAAATGTGATCTTAAGTTTTAAATAATAAGTAATTAAGTTTAATTGTAGCAATATTTTAATATATGTAAAATGTCGAGGCTTTTGACACTTGATAATATTGACATTAATTAAAAGTTCACCACATTATTATTGTTTTACATGTACAAGTTTAAGATAACCAAATACATCTGTAAGAAGAATCGAATTGATATATTAAAATTGCCATATTCTTTTTTTTTGAATAAATTATGACATTATAAACTTTCTAATCTTTTTATTAAAAATTAAGTTGTTTTTTCTAAATTCTAAAAGTTAAACAAACACTATACTTTCAAACTACTTTTACTTCTCTTTTTTAAAAATATTTTAAGTTATAAAATTGCAATATTTGAGCAAAAAAATATTTTTGTAATAAAATCAAAAATTAATTAGAT